AAGTATCGAGTGAAAATGTAATTTAATGAAACGAACGTATGATGAAAAATAGCAATTTATACTTTTTCTCCAGTGTTGTGTCGTTTACAGAAGTGATACAACTCAAACATTTATGATTTACGATTTAAAAAAACAAAACCTGTAAAACACTTGTAACACAATCTACAGAAAATATTACTGTCGTAGAAACAATAACTTACGTTCTACAATTTACAAAAACAACTATGTGCGGTACAAGAAAATTATGACTTACAATTTACAAGAAGCAGTGCGTTTGGAACATAAAACTTAAGCCGGAGGAAAACAGTGGCGGAGCACGTGAGCACCGCCAACGAGAGGTCGCGCGGATTACCTCTGTATGTTTACAAATATTTGACTTGATCATCGGCTCCAGGCCAAAGCAGAAATTCCACCAATGTTTATTTTCCGTCTGGGCAGCTAAGAAAACGGATCTTAATGGCAGCCGCGCCTTAAGCTGTAAATGCACACCGTGTCACATATTTCTGAAACAATCGTCGAGCTGGGAGGGTTATACTAGGAGCGGCGGTGGCGCACAGGGTTCACATCTTAGAGGAAACTCCCAGGTAAACAGCCCTTACGTCAGGTGGGCTGTTAGGTCTGTCACAGACACACGGCAGCCACACCACCTGTCACAGTTTCGTCTGTACCCAGGCGGGGACTCGCTAGACGGACGCCCAGAATTCCTCCCTGTTTACAAACAGCTGAAATTGCATTGACTGTCGCCCCTGCTGATGTGAATGACACTCAATACGATAGATGCTGAGAGAGCTGGCTCGGGTGCGCATAATATCCTCTATTGTGCTTTTATGACTATTACTGCGACACATTATACGTTCCTGGTTAATACAGAGAAATGAAAACGGTAATTCTTATTACAGTGTTCAAATTAATGTGACATGTCTGACGGATACAAAGAACTGAAAACGCTCATTTTATTACGGCGTCAAGATTACTTTCACATTCTTCAACGTACAGTGCACTGTAAAAGCTATTTTTATTAAAGCATTAACACCATTAACACTGACATTCCTGACTGATACATTAAACTGAAAACACGTATTTTTATGCGAAACATCATCATGGACGCTGCCCTGTAGGAGACCCTGTAGCACAGAAGGAAGAGCGAGATTAGTGAAGCATTTGGCCAACACTTGTAAGTGATGCTGTTGAGAGCAGGACCAGAGTGACTCAGAGAGAACAGCGTTGTTATGAGAGTGTCAGCGTTCTGGCCACTCAGGGGGACATGTTTGTTCTCCTATGTATATGTCGTTGTCAGGTCCAGGGCTCTAACAGTGTCAGTGTCAGGTCCAGGGCTCTAACAGTGTCAGTGTCAGGTCCAGGGCTCTAACAGTGCCAGTGTCAGGTCCAGGGCTCTAACAGCGTCAGTGTTAGGTCCAGGGCTCTAACAGTGTCAGTGTCAGGTCCAGGGCTCTAACAGTGTCAGTGTCAGGTCCAGGGCTCTAACAGTGTCAGTGTCAGATCCAGGGCTCTAACAGTGTCAGTAGGTCCAGGGCTCTAACAGTGTCAGTGTCAGGTCCAGGGCTCTAACAGTGTCAGTGTCAGGTCCAGGGCTCTAACAGTGTCAGTGTCAGGTCCAGGGCTCTAACAGTGTCAGTGTCAGGTCCAGTGTCAGTGTCAGGTCCAGGGCTCTAACAGTGTCAGTGTCAAGTCCAGGGATCTTCACCACTGCAAAAAATATATATAATTACGTCATCTTAATTTTACCCACACACTCCCCCTACGCTAACACACTCCTGCATCCTGTCCTCAGCAGTGGTCAGGATGTGTGTGTGTGTGTGTGTGTGAACTATCTGCAGCCTACGTTTACATTAAAGGGGATTTCTTGAAGCTTTGTCCCCAGCTTATTTCACCTGAAGATTAACCACCCGTGCGTTAACTTAACCTTCCCGATAGCGTTAGAATGGTTAATCTTCAGGTGAAATATACAGGGGGGAGTGTCTAATCGTCAGGTGATCCGTTTATCATTGCCAACACCGCTGAAGGAATTCATCAGTTTCTTAAGTTGTTGCTGTGTGTGTGTGTGTGTGTGTGTGAGGAACGAGCGAGAGAGAATTATGAACGAGCTTATTTTCTCTAACTGCCCTAAATAGTTAAAGAGTGATTGCCAGCTGAATGTCAAGGCAGCGACAAGTGTACTGCGTTTGGTTGATCTTGTTTTATTTACTGACTTACAGCACCATTATAAATAATATCTAAAATTATTTATATATTTTTTTCTGTCCGTCGATATACGGAGGAGAAAGATAGATTTACACCGTTGGAGATAATTTGATTTACACAGTCAGATTGCTAGTACAGATTTACACCCTCGACTTGCAGCTACAGAATTACACAACAGTTTCAGTAGTGGAGATAATTAAATTTACACCATCGGATTGCCAGTATTAATTTACACCGCCGTTTTAGTAGTTGAGACAATTACATTTACACCGTTGGAGACAATTTGATTTACACAGTCAGATTGCCAGTACAGGTTTCCACCGTCACTCCGCCAGAAGAAACAATTAGGTTTGCAGAGTGGCGGTACGGTGTCTCGGCCGGCAGCGGAGGACCAGGGCCGCTACCTCCCGCGACACGCCCACCAGTTCCCAGAGACACTAAACCGCAAAAGTTTATGTTTGCGTGAGACCTGATCAGCGTGCAGTGGTGCGTTTCTCAGGGGGTAGCCGCTACAGCTGTTGTTGATACATGCGCTACAGCTGAATCTGTTTTAGGCACTGCTTATATCAAAGTTACAGCCACTACACCCGTTAAAGTTACAGCCACTACACCTGTTAAAGTTACAGCCACTACACCTGTCAAAGTTACAGCCACTACACCTGTTAAAGTTACAGCCACTACACCTGTTAGGGCTAAAACGTTTACCTACTATGAAGGCAAAACGTGGGGGAACTTTCGGAAGCTACAAATGAGGAACTTTCAATCATAAGCAACGCCTGAGGAACTTTGATCAGAAGCTACACACTGGGGCCTCACACCTGCTGCAGCTACACACAAAACATAGACAAAGGCCCAACTATTGCCACACCAGTAATTTCACAACTCCGCCTGAATTAGAAACGACAGCAAACTTGTGAGCCACTGACAACTGCGCCTCGTAAAGAATACCCACAAAAAACACCAAATACAATGGCCGGTAAATCATAGTGGTAATTGAAAGGCTGTGGTTAATATTATATGTAATCAGTGATTAAATGAGAAAAAAACCCAGAGTATAATCATATTTAAATCAGAATGAAAGCTTCCGATAAACAAAGTAAGAATTTAAAATGAAATCTCAATGACAGTTCGGTGCTTCTTATACTTATTATGAGGCAGCTTCACCTTTAGACTGTGATTACTGTCCACTGGTGTCCACGCTTGTTGATATGTGAATCATTGTTATTATTTTGTGCGAGGAAAAAAGAGAAAGAAATTATATTACCTTTTAGTCGGATGATGTCAACAGATTTGTGGCGCAGTACCTTACCCTCCCTCCCTCCTCCTACCCCCTCCTTACACCCCCATGAAAATGAGGAATCACTCATAAAATTCAACAAACTTCAGAACTCCCCATTCGGTGACGATTTATACATCCTAGAGAACGTGAACGTAACCAGAAATTAGATATAAAGATATATCTGTCCCAATAAATCGCCTCGCCATGAGTCATTTTCTTGGGAATGGAAACGAATAATGTCATAACTGTCTGAGAAAATGTCCGAAAACAATTTGGTGAGCCACATTTCGTTCGTTCAGCTCCACCACCCGCCCCCTCCCTCCTCCTGCAGGCCACTAACGAGACGTATAGCATACTCAAGTATATTCTTTACTCGGCCACATTCCGGCAGCAACAGCAGTCATACTGAGGCAAGGATGGCGTGTAAACTTAATTATGTGGTAATTTTTTACGAGCATTTTCACCGCCGTTAATCACATACATTAGTCGGCCATATTTCAAGTAGAAGATACACTAAAGAAGAGGAGAGAGACGCCTCCCCTTCCTCCTGGACTCTTTATAATGTTAAAACCTAAGTAGTTGTGAAGGGAGACATTATAGTTTTTGTCCGAGGTACATTAAGTAGGTCTCGCACACGTCAACTGATTCTTATTTAGCTTCGGCCTCCTGTGTCTGGGTCGTCGTACCGAGACGCCGACGTTTGTCTTAGTGTTGACAACAAAATCACAGTTGTAATGTACGTTGAAAGTTTTAATTAAGCGTTTCTTAATGTCGGTATGATCTACACACACGCACACGAACACACACACGTACTCACACACACACGTACACACACATAGAGTAATGACTTGGATTATGGAGTTTGATGTATCATGTAACCTTGGATAATATTTATTATGTTAATTATTATAAATGAGAATAAAAATACTGAAATACTAACTAGTCTTTCCCTACATACTTCATGAGCGTCACAACTGTTCATATGAGAAACAATTCACAGCCGTACAACAAATATTTCTAGCATATAAAGCTGTAAGAATAATGCGTCTGAATGACTTTAAACTTATCCCCCTCTAAAAAAAAATTTCTTTACATATAACATCCACATTTTAAGGACACTAATAACTTGATTCGTTTACACCTCAACAGATAAAAGTCAATCGAGGTGCAGCCACTTTTCCAAACCATTGTATCTTAATTTTCTCCGGTATTAAGTGAGCATTATATAGTTAAGGTAGTCTCTCAGCCTAATTTTGATGCCATTTTTATGATTTATCTTAAGTAAAATAATTAAGTGTATAATGAGGAATATTGATCGTAGGTATGTGTGTGAGTTTAGATCTATGAGCATCAACGTCTTAATAATTTGTCTCTTGTAAGAATGTTAAGCCTTGAGAGGTAATATCCAGTAACAACAATTATTCCATTAAGCCAAGTGATGGGTTCTTGCCAAGGTGGTCAGACTCCCATTAATGAGTCTGTTCCACACACAAATCCTTCAGGTCATTAATAGAAGAAATCGATCTGTAAATAAATGTATTTCTCTCTAAAACTTGGTTTACAGATATTGTACAATAAATATACAAACAAATAAGTAGCTAGCAATCCCATAACACATGACTTAGTACATAAAGTAGAATGTACAGTTGGCTTTACAGTAGGTATGGGGGCATTTAGGAACAAGTAAGGGAGGGTGTCTATCTTCAAGGGGCCTCTCAGCAAAGCATGCAACAGGCAGTCAATGGCTCTGCAAATTACACGATTAAGAAAAAAAATACACAGCCAATTTTAGAGACTTCGTCACTAGAGCAAAGAAGAGCTTGATACCTCGCATGCTTGGGATGGTTAGACCAGAGTACGCTGAAGGCGGCTGTGACGCACTGAGGCCTGGGCAGGGATGCCACGCGCCAAGATGACGGACGACCCTTCGAAGTTGACGACTTCTCCTGACGACAGATCGTGACAATGACACTTCCTGGAAGGAGGGCTGCAGCAGGTCGCAACAACCCTTCCAGCGAGAGGGTTGCGACAGGCCGCGACGACTACCCTTCCTGTGTTACAGAAAGGTCCTGCTTCAGCGCCTCAGCTAGTGACACAACTGAGTCTTCTGAGATCAGAACTCCCAACAATTGTTCACACTGTTGAGAAAACTTAGCTGATTGTCCTCGACATGTAAAGAAAATCACAGATTGTTAAGTAAACGTACCACACATACAACATAAACGGTACACTGAGAGCAGAGGGGGGAGCTGGGCGTGGTCCCACCCAATTCTCACACTGATCCACCTTAAACATCACATCGTCACCTTCATTGACTTAAAACTGTACATTCACATAAACACAGATTTGTACATGTTGAAGGAGAGGAGACATCACAGCAGCACACGAGGGGGCACCGCCCTGGGGAGCCCCTCACTCACTGGGTGTGGCGACCCACCAGCGGCCACGCCCTTACCCCACCCCCACTCCCACTCGTATACAAGGCGAGGGTCGTGAGGGCGCCGGGTCCGCTCACTAGTGGAGTCCCGTCGTTGCTCCCAGACCTCGCGCATAAAGCGAGTAGGGATTGTAGTAGGCTGAGAGTGGGTGTGGAGGTAGCCCGGTGAGGGTGGAGAGGGCTGAAGCAGGTAGAGGTGCTGTTGGCGGCAGGTGTGAGAGAGCCGGCTTGGCGTAAGGGTGGTAACGAGCTGCAGATAGCGGGGAGAGAGGTGGTGTGGGGTAGCCGCGGGGCAGGTGACCTGCCAGCAGCGGGTGATGCAGGGCGTGGAGTGACAGGGTGGATTCTGAGGTGGAGAGGTTGGTGTGTGTTCTGAGGTGCTGCAGCAAGTCCTCGGACGTAGAGAATCGCTTCCCACAGTAGGTGTCTCCCGCTATCCAGTTACACACATAGGGGTGATGTGAGCCCCCGACCAACCCAGGGGGAGGGTAGAGCCCGCTCCTGTGGGGAGACAACAAACATTAACACTCTTAACTTCAGTAACCTAATACTTCCCAACATGTTATGCCCGACCAACTCTACTGAAATTTTGACTGTTCCTTTCTGGGGAAATATATGCAAAGAAAATTATGATATTTTTCTCGATATAGTCAGTTAGGTTAATGGATGACTTACAGCGAGGAGGCGTGTAGTGAGGGCAGGAGGCCTGGTAGAGATGCGAGACTCTTAGTGTATGAAGAGATCTGTGCACACTGTGTACACCCGGGCGGACAGGTGCCATTCACCACCTGTGCGGCGTGAGCGTTGATCTGGCAGCCTGTGCAGTACGGGTCCCGGCACACTGGCACAACCGTCTCGCTCCCGCTGGCCGTCTTCACTCTGGCGTATCCGACGTAGGGGCTGGACAATGCAGCCGACGTGCTGGTGGGCACCTGCAGGAGGAGAGCACAGGAGTTAATATGCGTCGTTGGGCAAGGCATAGGGAGCTTACAGGGATGGGTAGTTAGTGGAGGTTAATCAGTGTATGAAGGCAGCTGTCTAGATAGGTGTTGAGGAAGGAAGGAGGTTGTTTGAGTAGATCTGTGGGAGGAAATGTGGAGGTGGTTGTCAGGAAGGGGCGGTGGGTAATGATAATTGTTAAACTAGGTGTACTGGATGTCAGTTAAAAGTGTGGGGAAAGGTAAGTGGGTGGTAGGGTGTTTATCATGGTGAGTGCGGGGAAATGGTAGCAGTAGGTTATGGTTGCCAGTGTGTGTAGGAAGAAAGGTGGGTGGTGGTCAGAGCTTGCTGAAGGTCGAGGCTGTCAAGGTGAGGAGAGGGGGAGAGTGGCAGGTGTTCTCGGGGTGAGACAAGAACAAAAAAAATCAGAACCGGTTTCTGGGACGACTGTGAGGGGAAGAATGGAGGTGGTAGGTGTTAAACAAGAGAAGGAAGAGTGTTTTGGTAATGGTGGTGGGAGCTATTTATGTTTCTCACCCACTTGGCAACAATATGCCCGTCACTGTCAGCATCACCTCAACACTACTGCCATCATGCTGCTACTCACTGATCTACTCCGAGGAGGGTGTTACACCGATACACTCATTACTGTCTACCACAACCTATCATGTTGTGTAGCCAAACCTGCCTCCTGCCCTCTCTAGTGTATCACTTCAATCACCACAGATTCTTTTTTTAAATACTGACAACTTTGTATCACTAATGATGTAATAATAATTCACCTTCACCACAATATTCTCTTTTTATCGTTTACAGAGCAGAAGACAGAGTGTGCACAGTTACGGAAAATATCGCTCTATACATCACAATGACTGCTATACTCCCACACCCTGACACCCGGCCAACAGAAAATGGTCATAATTGAATTACTACGTGCATGAGACTCAAAAACAGAAGTGACATAGTAGAAACGGAGAGTATATATACATGCGACATCATTTTGGTAGGAATATCTCACCTTGGCTGTGAGGGCTGAGAGTCCCGCTGCGCCAAGAGGGTCGAGGCTAAGTGCTAGGTGAGGATAAAGGCTGGGTGCCAACTTGTACGCGGCCAGAGGGTCCTTGCTGAGGTCACACAGGCCAGAGAATGTGTGTGACGACAACGACGATGAGGTCTTTGGTGTGATGGGAGAAGAGACGCGGGGCGAGAGAGACGACGCTGACGAGGTCGCGGGTTCCCGCGGCCGCGACGAAGACCGCCCACTCTCGCTACTTCTTGAGGAGGAACGTTCCGCGCTGGGTTGGCTGCCAGCGGGGGAACGCATGCTAGGTGACGACCTCTTGGGGCTGACACGGTCGTCGTCTTCCTTCTTCTCGTAAGGCTTAAAAGAGGACGTGGTGGTCGTCTTGGTGTCGTCCGACGGTGTAATGGTGAGTGCGGCGCCCGGAGACTTTGCACCGGGGGACGACTTGCCCTTACTGGAGGACTTCTCGACGGGGGGAATGGAGCCTTTCTGCGACAGATCGGCGCCGATAGAGGAGCACGTCTGTGCCAGCAAGGCGAGGGGGGACTTCTTGGCGTCCAGCTGCCAGGAGAAAAAATAATATTGTAAACCCCTGATAGACGCCGCCGCTTATAACATGTTAATACTGTAGTCCAGGACTCCGTCAGGCAGGTACAGGTGCTGAGGACTATATATATATATATATATATATATATATATATATATATATATATATATATATATATATATATATATCGCACAATAGATACACTGACCATTATAAAAATCATGTTATTGTCCATGAAACAGTAGTTTCTCTTCACCTTTCGTCGATTGTAATAGATGTGAAACGACCTCCTGACACCTCGAGACAGCTGTGTATATTATATAATACACACGTAGTATATAAAAATATATAAACCATATATACCAATTGGGTTAATTGGGATAAAAAATATTTTACCTATATCTCCATATATCGGTATATAAAACAGGTCTCCTAATATACGTCTAATCATATGCACTTACATGTGTATATTATTTACACTGCGACAGACTTCTCTACATACATGCACACATACACAAACCTAAGTAACATTCATTCCAACATAAGGACGTAAGAATAACGTGTCATACACACAACATATATTGACCCAGGCAGGAGCCACACACGTGCGCCTCACACAACAACACACCACTAACACCTCCACACGTGTCTACTGCCTGAAAAATCAATACATCGCCACAAAATATATCCAAGAATTACTTATAAAACAAAGTGACTGACACAGCTCATGGTGACGTGTCTGATGATATAATTTTTCTATGTCCACCAAGTGTGTAAATAACACCTCACTAAACTCACCAACACTTAAACGTTGTTTTACAAATTGTGGCTGACGCTTATAGGAAACACTCAGATACATAAACACAGGAAAGCTCTCTAGTATACTGTATATATCGTGGTAAATGGTGGAACAACACTGTACTAGGTGTATTAAAAGTGCCAAACACGCGTGAATTTCAGAGTCCAACACTCACCTCAATAGAGTGTCCTTGTATGGGGTTCAGATACTCCGGTCTAAGGTACTGGTTTCCACTTGATGTCAACATTGTGGTCGGCTGTAATTAATAACACTATGTCACTATGTCCCAGCGAGGTTCACTAATCAGGTCAACAGAGGTTCCCGCTCACGCACATAGCACCACCTTCGTCCACTGCCACTGAGCGCTACTAACTGAATGAATATTCTTGATTTCTGCTCACTCGTACCCGGGTCTACGTGACGTCACCGAACCGCGGCTTGTAACGCGCCTCCTGATTGGCGGAAAATGTCCCGTTAGATTTCACACGTTGGTCCCGTCGACACGCGCTGATTGGTCCTCCGCTCTTGGAGAGTTGTAAAGCGAGCCTTGATTGGTGGATGGGGATGTTATGTCGTCACTTAAGATGATGAATGGTAGGATGATGGGTAAAGCGAGAGTCACCAATCAGAAGAACGACACTAATGATCTGACACATGGCCGCCTCGCATCTCATCGCTCACCCCTCACAAAATATCGCTCACTCCCCTTATTTTTTCCCCGACGGGGTGAGATTTGGAGGCGGCGAAGCATTTTGAGATTGAGCAAGCTGTCGGTGGGGGGAGGGAGTGAAACTTGATCGTGTACTGGTGCTACGATACTCCCGCGCCACCGCAAGTAATTGCTTCATTTTATAACATTTAATTCTTCACCAGTATGTAAGTACGACCCCAGGATCAAGACTCACCTCCCGCTGGCTGTACAAGAGTTAGCACAACACGAGAGAGGGCGGGAGGCGGGAAGATAAAATAGATTTTAATGCGCAGAGATGGTGTCGGAGGCGCGGCGGGGGGAGGGCGAGGAGAGGAGGTGACGACAAGCGACGTGCGCTCAGCTGACCCGCACGCTGTTGCTCCCTCCCCCTCCCTCACTCTCCCTACCCCCTCCCTCACCCTCCCGCCTTTCCAGCCTCCCTCCCCCATCACCTGACGCCGTTCTCCCTCCCCACCCACCAATCCTTCAGTACTCAGCTTCCCCACACCCGGAAAAATATACTTATTGCCAGTGATGGAGAGCCGCGCTGACGTGCCCTCCCACCTCCCCCCCTCCTCCTCCCTGCCTGACTCACACGCTATGCCGCTCTAATGACCGCCGCCTCCGCCTTTAACACTAAATTATATTAATATTCCGGTGAGTTTCAGCCACGTGATGGAGCTTTATGGACGAACCAAGACAACGCTTTCCCCCCGTCGTCAAAACTACAAGAAAAAAAAAGATGAATCTGAGACATTTTCTTTCCTTATGAGACAATCTACAGTCAGGTAATTGCCACACAGGTGATACATATGCCGTGAAGATAACAGCTCAACTTTTCTTTGAAGAGTTTACCATTTATAAAACTTTAAGGTAATGTTGCACAAAAATTCCCTTATTTTACATGACATTCTGGACATATATCTACACATATCACTAAAATTAAATTTCCTATCATCTGAAGATTAACCAACCTAACCTCCCCCAGTGTGCGTTAGGGCGTATAATCGGCGGAATATGAAATAAGGCCCTTAAATCACTCATAAAGGGACAGGATAGGCTGTCTAGTGCCTGTACCGGCAGACAATAACTAACCCATGACACAACCCTAACACACTATTAGCTTAGCTAGGCGGTCAGCCCGTCCTCTCTTACCTCCTCCTGAATTTTTTCAATTTCCGAACTATAACTTCCTTCCCCCACCTCTAATCTTCCTTCATTCCTCCTTTCCCTACAAAAAAAAATCTTGATAAATAAGCTGGAAGGAACTAAATGTTTACGTGATCCAAGTATTCTATGTTGTAATGAGATAAACTAACTCACATGAAGTATCAATCAGACAATTCTCACGTAGGATCAATGTTAAGGAACGATCGCCTTAACTTTGACGTGATCAAGACTGTACTAAATACCTGTGAAAGTTAAGTCAGGTAAACACACGGATGAACTTAACTCAAATGCCAACAAGACTAACTAACCCCCAACTCCCGAGCTTATTTCATCTAAAGCTTAACCACCCTAAGACTATTTAACCTAACCTAACCTAACCCACTCCAAATAGCGTTAGAACGTTTAATAACAGGTAAACTAAGCTAGAGGGAGGGAGCTAATATTCAGGTAATCTCTTGACTTCATCGCCTTAAGGTACATACAAAGGCAATGCAGTTGTGTCATATGTTAAATAGTCGGCAGAAGACAATGTGTTGCCTCTGAGTTACTGTACTCTGTGTTGCTCCGTCACAAACAAGCTGGAGTGTTCACATGACCTGTTTGTCACCGCTTCTCAGACACTTGTGTGAGGCAGCACTAACAAATACGTGTCGACTCATTAAATCATTTTTATTGAACCAGGTGAAGCGATTAAAGAGAGAGAGAGAGAGAGAGAGAGAGAGAGAGAGAGAGAGAGAGAGAGAGAGAGAGAGAGAGAGAGAGAGAGAGAGAGAGAGAGAAGAGGCAGAAAACAGAGAGATGGAGAAAGAAAGATAAAGAGAGAAAATACACGATAAAAATCATCAATAATACACACACACACACACACACACACTAGGAAAGTACCACCACGGTCGCCAACTATATTTTAAACGGCTGTAAAACATCACTAAGTCGACATTGTTCAGATTCCATTTGTGGATGATGACTCGACCAAGACCCCGGGTAGTTGGTGAACTCTCGTGTCTGTGTCTTGTTTTGTTCACTTATGTTCACTTGAAGGCGACACTTGACACTCCTCAGTTAGAAAGTTTTATAATGTTTTATTTTTATTTTTGAATAATAATATAGAGATTACTTGGAAATTTATCCTTATCTTACTTCAATTGATGATTTAGACAACCTCATGTTAACCTAACCTAACGAAACTTATTCTATTCTAACCTAACCTAACCTAACCTAACCTAGCCTAATATCAATGTTTACACTATACAAGGAATCAGATGTTTCTCTCAGTGTAAGATACGAGGGAGTAAATATTCCACCACCACCATCACCTTGACCACCACCACCACCACCACCTCAACCAACACGGCTCACTAACTAGCAAAGTTGGTTGGCTGTGGGGAGCTGCAAGACCTGCTGGCTGTGGCTGGGTGCACGTCAAATGGACCCCCAACTCTAATGGGCCCCAGTTCTAATATGCCCCAACCTAACCTTACCTTAAATAATCAGAGGAGAGCTGTAGAACGTGAGGGTATGTAGGAGACGTAAGAAGAGACGTAGGATGAATGTAGGTAGATGTAGTGAAGAGATAGAGGAGGCGTAGACTGGAGTAAGATATAGAAAACTGGTAGGTGGGAGAAATTAGTAGAAAAATACGTAGATTGGAATAAGGATAAAGTAGAAAGAGCGTAGAATAGAGTAAGTAAGAAGTAGAAACAAACATACAATGAAATAAAGAGGAAGAAAAAAAAAGTATATATAAGCATAAACACTGAAATCATTTGGCTGAAAGACCAAAACAAGAAACAAGAATATAATAATAGTAATGAATTCCCTGGTACGGCTGGGAGACCATGATATATTACTGCCTGATTTCATGTCTTTGGGCTAAATAACATGTTTACAAGGCGGCGGTGGTCACTAACTAACATTTAAGATAAGATCTAAACAGGCGTAAGTAAACAGAGCGGACAACCACAGCTGGAACTGATGGGAAGAGTAAACATGACTCTTATCTCCTGGAAGACAAACACACTGTAACACATTTATGATAAGTTATAAATCAAATGACTTTATGTGTGTGTGTGTGTAGTGTGTGTGTGTGTGTGTGTGTGTTTGTGTAGTGTGTGTGTGTGTAGTGTGTGTGTGTGTGTGTAGTGTGTAGTGTGTGTGTGTGTGTGTGTGTGTGTGTGTGTGTGTGTGTGTGTGTGTGTGTGTGTGTGTGTGTGTGTGTGTGTGTGTGTGTGTGTGTGTGTGTGTGTGTGTGTGTGTGTGTGTGTGTGTGTGTGTGTGTGTGTGTGTGTGTGTGTGTGTGTGTATGTGTGTGTGTGTGTGTGTGTGTGTGTAGTGTGTGTGTGTGTGTGTGTGTGTGTAGTGTGTGTGTGTGTGTGTGTGTGTGTGTGTGTGTGTAATAATAATTAACGGTTTATTGAAAGAGCTTGGCAGCCAGAAGGCTGAAAATATACAGTTACATATTTGGGGAATGGGTTACGAATTACAAATAATATACAAGTAACATAAGTGTGTGTGTGTGTGTGTGTGTGTGTGTGTGTGTGTGTGTGTGTGTGTAGTGTGTGTGTGTGTGTGTGTGTGTGTGTGTGTGTGTGTGTGTGTGTGTGTGTGTGTGTGTGTGTGTGTGTGTGTGTGTGTGTGTGTGTGTGTGTGTGTGTATATGTGTGTGTGATGATACTACTACTATTAACAACAACAACAACAACAATAATAATACGCAAATGACAATAATGTATTAAATAAGGCCGAGTCATTTAACTAAAACTTTCGGTATAAACTGAAAAATAAACACAGATTGAAAACTAAACAAGTTAACCATCAGTGAGTGGAAAGATGTCGGTCTTGCAGCCTTCTACTGTGTGAGATGGTCAAGACTTGATGGTGTTGTGGTGTACCAAATCAACACAAGGACGAGAACACTCCAGGTGGCAGGGTGGTGGAGTTAAGAGAGGATAGTGCAACAACTGTGTCCCAAACTGATTATTAATGGGGAGTCGATGATGATGAAAGGGTCAGTGTAGTGTGGGTAGTAGTTCAATGATACTCTCAGGTGTACTGCCTCATTTCACAACAAACAAAGGTGAAGAAGCAGCAGTACTGGTGTCGTGGGAATGTAAACATTGGCAGTGACCCGAGGGATAGGCTGAGTCTTTCCCCTGAACACTGACTTACTGACTTACTGACTGGATCCTATACACAAACATTGTTCTCATTCCATTTTGTGCTGATCTTTTCATTTTTGTATCAGACTCATTACTCATCAATCAGTGCAATGTTTTCTTGGTGGGATTCTGCTGATCTGTCTCGGTGGTGATTAAGGTGTGTGTGTGTGTGTGTGTGGGTTAGGTTAGGTTAGGGTTTTAATGTTTCTTTGATCATTAAAAAACTAAACTCTCCAAAAGTAACGATTTTTCGACATGTTCAACAATGAAAACCTAACTAAACTGTGACTTTTTTCCTGTGATTTTTCCCCGTGAACTTTTTCCTTACATTTATCACCACAGCC